AAACATACTAATGTGAATTCACTAAGGTGAATACATACTAATCTACAGTGGAGTAGCAAAAGAGAACAGGGCCAAAGAAGGTGTAGCCTTACTAATACACCAAAGGTACCAAAATCACATCAAAGAGTGTCAATACATATCAGAAAGAATAGTAACAGCAAAGATAAGAATGGAGAAGGAAGACCTTAACACCATCGGAGTATACAACCCAGAAAATAATAGGACTCAAACAACAAACAACAAGGAAAGCATTTTACGACCAATTACAACAAGTAGTAGATCAAGTTAGAGGAAATATGATATTATTGGGGGATTTTAACGCTCGAATAGACAACCAAGTAATACCCAGCATCGAACAAAAACAGAACGAGAATGTTAAAAACGAAAATGGAGAACTGATGATCAACTTCTGCACGAATAACGAACTAAGAATAAACAAAACTTTTTTGATCACAAAAACCAACACAAATATACATTTAATAATACCCGTGGACAAAGATATATGATAGATTATCTTATAACCAACAGAGATATACATCCATCAAAAATAATCGACGTAAAATGCCTCAACTCAGCAGATGTAGGTAGCAACCATAACCTAATATTATGTAAAATAAGAATAATCCTAAAATACTTCCCACCCAAGAGAGCGGCTCCAACACACACAAAAATCAAAGTCGAAGGACTAAATACGGAATCGATGGAATACTTATACCGGAAAAGAATATCAGTTAAGATCGCTGGGAATGAAATATTAGGAAACAATAACATCGAGGAAAGCTGGGAAAAATTCAAAAATAATATAATTAACGCAGCAACAGAATCACTTGGAGAGAGGAAAGTAACAATCACTAACATAATATCAAAAAAGAAAACACCATGGTTTAGAGAGGAAGTGAAGACAAAATGTGAAGAAAAGAAGAAAGCCTTTTTACAGAACACAACAGGCATACAACCACTATAAACGAATCAGAAACACAATGAATACCTTAGACAAATAAAAAAGGAACACTGGCAGAATTTCTCAAAAGAGATTGAACACGATTTCTACGGAACACAAACAGAAATATGGAGAATGATCAGAAGACAAAGAAAAGAAATGAACGAACTAATAAAAACGAAACACATTCAGAAGGGTAGACATGGGTAGACTACTTTCGATCCCTGTTTGCTAAAGGTGACGATGATGAACCACCAACACCAGAGGTGACGACAAACGAAGAAGAGGAGGAAGAGGTAAAGGAAGCATTAAGGAAATTAAAAAATAGAAAATCACCAGGAGAGGACAAAATATCGAATGAACTCCTAAAGTACGGAGGACCAGATCTGACCAAACCACTATTAAAACTAATTCAAAGAATAATAGAACAAAACAGAGTTCCCCAAGAATGGAAATCAAGCATCCTAATACCTCTCTTCAAAAAGGGAGACAAATCGGACCTGAAAAATTAGAGAGGAATCAATTTATTAAACACAACACTAAAATTAACAACCAAAGTGATAACAAATAAATTGAATGAAATTATAACACTAGCAGAAGAACAACAAGGTTTTAGGTGTGGAAGATCATGCACCGACGCTATATTTATAATGAGACAAGAATCTGATGATTGGGAAGAAACATATGATGACATACCAGACTTTCAGTTCGATCATGCTGCTGCCGGGATACAACTACATTTTGACCATGAACCTGTACCACTAGAAATTTTCAAATTGCAATGGACTGACGAAGTAATGGATCTTCTTGTAAATAGTACCAATGGATACGGTCTCAAGCTGGAGATATCAAATCGCCCTAAACCTAAACATTCCAGAACAACTAACTTTGTTGAGACTACAAAAGAAGAACTTTACAAATTTATAGGGATTTCTTTATTGCAAGGACAAATTCGATTTCCAATTATGCGAAAACTTTTCTCGTATAATCCACTATACTACCACCCTGTATTCTCCTATGTTATGTCTGGACGCCGATACGAAGATCTGCTCAGATGTTTCAACTGCACAAATGAAAAAGACAAAAATGATAGGCTCAATAAAGTAAGTGAATTATTGAAGATTTTGATTAGGAACTACCAGAGCGCTTACTCTCCCGAGGAAGCATTGTCCCTGGATGAGTCCCTATTATTACTAAAGAGGCGGCCGAGTTTCAGACAATACATCAAAGGAAAGAAAGCAAAATATGGAATCAAATTCTACGAGCTGTGCACAACAACAGGTTATACTTGCAACATCGGCATTTATAAAGGCAAAGAAATAGAAGGCAATATGACAAAATTGCAATCTCTCGTATTTAGGCTTCTTTCACCTTTTTTGGACAAGGGACACCATACTGTTATGGATAATTATTATAACAGCGTTCCCCTGTCAAACAAATTACTTCAACGTAAAACTCATACAACAGGAACCCTTAGGTCGAATCGCAGAGGAAATCCTAAAGAAATCACCACCAAAAAATTAAGAAGGGTGAGCATAAATGGCTGTGAAAGTGCAAGGTATATGTCTCCAAATGAAAAGAAAAGCGGGAGGTATTGATGATTACCACCAAATTCCATCCAGAAATGATCGAGACTAGTAATTCTTACAACAAAACTAAAATTAAACCAAAAGAAGTCTCAGAATATAACCTAAATATGGCAGGTATTGACAGAAGTGACCAGTTAACATCTTATTACAACTGTTCACGAAAATCAATACGATGGTATAAGAAAGTAATATTTTATCTGATTGACGTTACTGTTGTCAACAGTTACCTTCTTTACCGAGATATAACGAAATCGAAGATCACGCTTCGATTTCGTTATATGTTTCGAGATGCTATATTAAAAGATCTACTTGGAATTTCACCAAATATAAAAGACGGAAGAAAACTTGTCAAACGTGGGTCGATAAATAATCCCAGGGAATGTTTAAGTTCAGCCCCTCCTCAAGCTGCTTTACAACATATTTTGGAGAAAATACCCTTGCCTTCCAGTTACAAAAGAAAAAGTTATTTTTTGAGATGTCACCAATGCTCCAGAAATGGAAAAAGAGGGCAGACATCATGGCGCTGCTCTGGATGTGATGAGAAGCCACCGCTATGTGCAGGAGATTGTTTTAAAAATTTTCACTCGTAAATTTTCCCAAGTATTTTTTTCTAGAGAAAATGTTTTCCTCTTGCTTTGAGTATTATTAACGACAGTAACTAGTTTTATAACAAAATACATGGTTTTTTATTTATTTTGGCAATATCTGTTTCTACTACTATGCGTATGCAATAGCAGACTGTGTCCCTGTACATTCAAATTTTCAATGTATAGGGACACGTCTGTAATAGCAGACACCTATTTTTTTCTAGAAAAAAAGACGAAATCGCTTTTCTAACTCTTGATCAGTACTTATTATTGCAATAAAAAAGAATTTTAAAACAAAGAACTAGTGATGTTCTGAGTAGGTTAAAAATATACCAAGTGTCCGCGAATGGGTTAAGAAACATACAGGGTGTTAAAGTGGAAATTTAAAATTTTATTTTTCGCTATAACTTTCATGTTTGTATGTATAAAAATTTACAACTTGAATATCAGCAATTATAATTTGATGCATACTAGTGATGGGCGAAATGACTCATTTGAATGTTTTGAATCATTTGAAAACTCACTGTGATGTTTCGAAACAATGATTCGAAACATTGAAACAATTGACACATTCTACCTGATACTGTAACTTCATGTCATAACAACTCATTTTCGGTTGCTATGCAAAGATATCATATTTCGTGCAGACTGCCGAATCATTTTCTGTAAGGCACGTGACAGCAATGTGATTGTTAAAGCATTGTGAGGATTTCTGAACGATTAGGGATTTGAGCTTGTTAAGCACAAATTTATTGTTTTAGGTCTTAGGTGTAGGTTAAATATTTTTAGTCTGGTTTTATTTAATTAGATTTTTTTCTCGGTGGTATAGACCTTCATTACCATTTTTAAATGAATACTTATCATTACTAGAACGAAAATAGGTACGTGCTACGTGGTGTTATTTACGTTAAAAACTTTGAAATAAAAATGATATTTCATTATTACAGACTGGAATATAGAAATTTTTAACATTTTTAAAGTTAAAAACAACTTAACATTTACATCAACTTAAAACAACTGTGATCGTTTCAAACTTAAAATCACTCAGCAGTTAGCCACTTGTTCTTTAAGTTTTAAACATTTTCCGACTGCTAACACAATTGATTTACGACGAACAGCACAGGAACAGAAACACAGATGGCAACACAGTATATACCGAACAACGAGAGAGTCGACGTGATTTTTGGAGTCGACACGATGACACATACTGACTATATGTATCGAAACAGTAAACATTTAATGTACCGAAACATTGAAACAGTTCTGTGACTCAACTCATTGCTTCGAAACATCGACTCACTAGCCAACACTGATGCATACTTTAATGCAGCTGATAGAGGGCGCCACATATGCCATGTGGCATACATTTGCACTTAACTTTTTTGCTCTTCAAGCCACCGGTATTCTTGATAAAAAATATTAAAGATACATTATTTTAACAAAAAAAAAAAGGTATACTTGTTACTATTTTCAAAACCCAACAGTTTTCAAGATAATCGCATTATATAAATCAACTACATAATTCTGATTTAACGCAATTACTCCAGGCAACACCCTGTATCTTTCTTAACATCAACCATTTTATTAAAGCAATTTGGCTTAAATAGTAATATTTTGAAGTCTAGAAACTGCGGTTTGTTTTTGTACAATTACTTAAGGACCACCCTGTATAGATAATGAAATATTTTCCTGATTGAATACCTATCTATTCAGCTTCTTTATAAGCTTTTAAGTTTGAATCTCTCATGATTTGAAGAAATCTCGTTAATTAAATATTTTGGAAATTTGTAGATATCTTATTAAAACATTATTATTTTAAAACACAAATAAAACTGCAAAGAATAGGAAAACATGACTTAATAAAATGGATACATGAATACTAACCTTGTCATTTCCATCAAAACTTTTATTATGGCCTGCTTTAACAAAATTGTCATACTTGGGTTTTTTTATTTTCAATTCACTTTCTTCATTCTCATCTTCATGTTGTACACTTCGTTGCTTTTGTAGTTGTGGAGCGCTGTTTGCTTCTTCCTCTTCGTCGTCATCAGATGACTCTTTTTTAACAGACTGAAACATAAACACATAATTTTTTGTCACTATCTGCATATGTGAAAGAAATAGGGCACTGAAAGATCGGTTTGAGAAGAACCATATCGACTGTTGTTCTTCCCTTATTTTTCCGTTGTATAAATTGCTATTTTGTCTTGTTTTTATATCATTAGTCTTTATTTTATTTTTGTAAAAAGTATAGGGTTTGCGTTTAATTTAAAATTTCGTATTAAATATTGAGTATGGAAGGTCGTGACAATATAAATTTAAATTTAATGAGAGATGAAGTGGTTAGAATAATTTCCCCCATTGAAGACGAAACGAGTCACGAGATATGTGGCAAATTTAGTGGGTGTAAATCAGTCGATAGTATCAAGAGTGGTAGTAAGGTACCGAGAGACTAGTCTTTATGAAAGACGAGCTGTAACAGATCGGCCAAGAGCAACTACGCACGTGGCAATTGATTTTTAGTCCCTCAGGCTTTGCGTCGAAGACATGTGACTGTAAGTCAACTTCAACATAACTTAGTCGAGACTCGAAATGTACGCAAGTCTTTAGAAACTGTTAGGCACATCTTAAGACAGTATGGAGTTAGGGCCAGAGTAGCTTCCACTGCCCGGAGACTTACAAGGGAACTCCATATAGCATGTCGAACATTTGCAAGAGAGCTGTAAACTGAAATATCGACGACTGGGGTAACATACTCTATTTTCAATGCGCACTAAGACCGGCGACAAACTTTGGAGGAGGATCTATTATGCTCTGAGGCGGAATATCTCTTAGGGCTGAAACCGAATTGGTACAGCTAGATGGAGGATCCTTAACTGCTGATAGGTACATTACAGAAATTTTGAAGATGCATTTTGTTCCTTACGTCCTATTTATTGGTAATGAATTTGTTTTAATGCATGACAATGCACAATGTAAAATTTGCAAAAGAAAAAAAAAATGTTATTTCAACATGTTAAAAAATTAAATAGTGGAATTATATTCATATAAGGTTTTACATGTGTTGGAAATGAAATGGACTTATTTATGACATATTGTGAAATTTAAAATATTAGGTAGAATTAAATGATGTATGAATAGAAAGTGTTTCGTTTCAAAATTCAGGGAAAAACGGTTAGAGATTGTTTTTTAAAGATGTGATAAAACAGTGATTAACAGTAGTCATTCTATTATTGGATGTTGTTCTGAAGCTATTTTCTTGTGGCATTTTAAATTAATTACTATTTAACTGGGAATAAGCCACAATTAAAGATAAAAATATGTTTATTGACATTTCAATTGCCACTTCGGAAATCGTTCTCAAAATACAGTACACAAAATAGTATTCACTGTTTGTATTTTGAGAACGATTTCCGAAGTGGCAATTGAAACATCAATAAACATATTTTTATCTTTAATTGTGGCTTATTCCCAGTTAAATAGTAATTAATTATTGGATGTGTATCAATTAGAAAAATATAAATTTAATGGTTTCGTTGAAACTAGGAATTGTTTGTTTGATATACTAAAAGATTATTGGTTGAAAATAGAAAAGGAAAGGAGAAGTTGTAGTTTGATGGAATTTTCAAAAGTGGAGAAAAAGTATGTTCCTATTCATGAAAGGAGTAATATCTGAAGGTAAAAATATTGAATGCTGGCCAATAACAGTAGAAGAAAATTTGAGTTTTGCGAATTAAAAGAAATTTTATTTTCGAAAATATGTAATTACATTTGTCAATGTTATAAAAAACTGTATTTAAGTCTAGAGTAAATTTCAATAGAGGAGAGGGAAAGAGAGAGACAAAGCGAAATAGAAAGAGATAGAGGAGAGAGAGAGATATTTTAACCTTACAATAATTTCTTTTATTGTGGTATATTTTCCACAGCAATTAAAAATATTTAAAAAATAAATACTCTCCTAATACAAATCATTAAAACAAAGGATATGAAAGAAAAAGAAATATGGTACAGAAACATTTGTATTTACCTTTTTGAGTGTAGAGGTGACAGAAATCTTTTTTAAAGCTGGCTTTTCATCTTCATCTTCATCATCACTGTCATCTTCTGATGAACTTTCCTTTTTAGTAGAAGTATATTTTTTAGTTACAGATTGTGGTTTGGAAGCAGCTTTCTTCAGTTCCTCTTCAGATGAATCTTCAGAACTACTTACTTCTTTCTTTGCTGTAGATTTGTTTTGTGGCGCTGGAGCAAGTTTTTTGACTTCTGCTGTTTCTTCTTCACTGGATGTATCATCTGAACTGCTTTCTTTTTTTGAACATTTTTTTTCTGGGTTATAGCAGATGCTGGTTTTTTGGGTATGGGTTTGCTTTCTTCTTCATCACTTGAATCTTCCGAACTGCTTTCTTCTACTTTTTTCGCCACATTAACAGGTTTTCTTGCAGGAGTAACTGCAGATTTTTTGACTAATGGTTTTTCACCTGACGATTCTTCAGATGAACTACTTCCAACTTTCCTCTTCACACCTGTTTGAGCTGGTTCTGCTTTTACTGGAGTGGGATTTATAGTTTTCTTAGGCGCTTCTTCTTCTTCTGATGAACTATCCTCACTACTACTTTCTTGTTTCTTTTGTGTTTTTGGTGGTAGAATTTTTATTGCTGTTGATTTTGTAACAGATTTCTTAACAGATTCATGCTCATCAGAGAAATCCTTAAATAAAGTTAAGTTTATTATTAGATTATACCATATTATACTTCTAATAGTATAACCAATACTTAAGAATTGTAAATTTAGATAGTTTGTCTTATATATCTTTGTCTTAAAATCTCAGAAAAAGTAGTATTCATAGAAATTAGATGTGCCTTAGGTACAGCAATAATCGAGACTCCAGTAAACCGCCCATTGTTTGAATTTAATACAATTAATATTGTTCCTTAAATTGTGAAATTTGTAGCATTCTAACAGCAATATTGTTAATGGAACCACCTACCATATGAGTGTCAATAGCGAGGGAAACCCCCTGACCCCAAAAAACCCACAAAACCATATGTCTGGACATATATTCGAGAATCAAAGTGATGCCGAAATGGATCTTTCTGTAAGTACTCCAATTCCAATCAACTTGATGAATAATCCAAATACAACCAATCAAACGAATGAAACACAACAAAAAGTAACAAAACATGTAAGACAAGCATTTTTATTCAGTAGTAATGATCTAGGCCCATACCATGTATATATTGAAAATAGCTCTGCTGAGTTTAAAGGTTAACTAAGTCCTTTAAAGATTGGCGAAATTATTTTGTCTAACTTCCCTGAAGCAGACAATATGATTTCAAGTATTGACAACATTGGCTGAAATAGAAATAGAGTCAAATATAAAGATTATAAAACTGCTAACAACCTCATCGAAAACAAAACTCTAGAAATATTTCATTTAAATAATTTAGATCTGTATATTCCAAAATTTATTTTACACAGACAAGGAGTTATTAGGGATATAGACACAGATTTATCAGAAGGGTATATTGAAAATAGAATTAAACAGTATGATAGTCATTGCATATTTGAAATTGGAAATGTTAAAAGAATTAAGCGTAAAAGAAAAAATTGTTAATGAGGAAAAAATTGTTGAATATGTCCCTACCAAGTCTTGTATTGTGACCTTTAAATCGCAAACTTTACCTAAATATATAGTCATCAATAAGGTGATTAAAGAAGTTAAAATATATAAACAGAAAGTTTTGCTATGCAGAAACTGTTTTAGATACAGCTACTTAGGAAATCAATGTAGAAGTCAGCTAAGATGTAACAGATGCCAAGAAACTCATAATTCAAAGGATTGTACAAAAGCTGAATTCACACAAGTATGTTTCAGTTGTAAGGGGAATCATTTAACCACAATCTTAAGTGCTTGCCTAGAATTCAAACTACAAAAGTTAATAAAAGAGACTATGAAGACTCTTCTAGTAAGAAAGCCAGAGAATTCATTCTAAAGAATTATTAAAGCTATAAGCACTGATAAAAACTTAGCTCTCCTAAGGGTCAACTGTAAGCTTTTTCTTTTCTGCAGTACTATAGTTCAAAAATATCGATACATTTCTGGCAAAGTAACGTAAGTGACATTTTTGGCAAAAATCATGTTTTTAGATTAAACTAACACTATTATTGTTAAAAAGGTACTGCCAAAGTGTACTAAGGCTAGAATTACTTTAAACCTTTTTTATGACAAGTTTTTTCAGTCATAATTTAAATAAGTTTAACCAGGTTGAATTAAAAAATTGTTTTTTCTACAAATTGTTTTTGGTGACTTACATTACTTTGCCAAAAATGTATCGATATGAACAAAAAGAAACTGAAAAAAATGGATGACTAACTAATGACAGTGGTACAAGTCAAGAAGATGAACCCTTTGGAAAGAAAAAAGAGACAGCAAGAAACACCACACAAGAGTCCACAACAGGAAATATAGATAAAATATTTGAACTGATACAGGACATAAAAACAGAAATGAGTGAAATGATATGAAAGAAATTTGGAAAGAATGAAAGGAAACAAAGAAAAAGTCAACATGCTAAAACAAGAAAACCTAATACTACAGCAAAACTATGAAAGAGTTCAAAAAGAAAACAAAGAAGTTTGACAACAAGCAAGAATACCCAAAACAACATGGAATGACTGGAGAAACAAAATGCAATGACCAATGTCATATATAAGCATCTAGGGGAAAAGACTTGTCTAATTGAGTAAATTGATAATAAGACTTAAATCTATATGATACATAAACAAAAATTGATAAACATAAATAATAAGAGGATGCAAAATGTTATTCAACAGATGCAACAGTGCACATTCAAGATTTAAAAATATTTTTTAAAGATGATACAGATGAACATGTCCCATTTTAAACTAGTAACCAAATCAAATAACTTACCTCGGAGCTAGATTCAGCTTTTTTGATATCCACTGAAGGTTTAGCTAGTGTTTTCAAAACTGGTTTTTTGGGGGCCTCCTCCTCGGATGAACTTTCATCAGAGCTTTCCTCTTTTTGAGACTTATTTTGTGGTCGATTTGTTTGAGATGGTTTGCTGGCTGCCATTTTGACTTCTTCCTCAGATGAATCTTCTGAACTACTTTCTTTCTTTTGAACATGTTTTGTAATTTGCTTCTGTACTGGCGGTTCTTTCTTTTGAACTGATTTAACAGGAGCCCTCTCTGGTTCATCTGATGAATCTTCTGAAGAGTCTTCGGAACTACCTTTTTTTACTGCTGATTTAACTGGAATCTGTGCTTGTTTTTGTATTGATTTCACTGGCGGTTTTTTTACTTTCTCCTCTTCAGAAGAGGAGTCATCAGAACTCTCTGCTCTCTTTTGAATAGGTTTAATGGATGGTTTAACAGTTTTAAGTGGTTCTTCGTCATCTGAAGAATCTTCAGAACTGCTGTCCTTTTCATGTGATTTAATTGGACGATTAGTTACTTTTACATTCCCATTTACCACCGCCTTAGATTTTTGTGTTTCCTCTTCCTCACTGCTGGAATCCTCACTTTCTGGTGCATTGACTTTTAATTGTTTTGCTTTGGGACCTGATTTGAAATAATATGAAACAAGTTCATTAAGCACAGGCGAACCTTTGGCCAAAGATACCTAAAATAAACATTTTATGAGACAAACACGTGGTGATGAATTTCATTAAATAAGCTGTTTTGCGCAATATATCACATAAATCAACACTAATGATAGTTTAAATTTTTCTTACCGCCTTAGTTTCTTTCTGAAATTGGGCAGCAAGTTTTATATTACTTTTTTTCAAAAAATCAAAAATAAGCGCGTTAAGCACGTTTGTAGTCTCCGCCATTTCGAGCACAAAAAGGTTTTACAAAATTCAGTCTTACCAAATGGTACAATGAACACAATGCACCATGGATTCCCACCCAAGAAAGTTACTAGAAAAGTCACCAAATACATCTTCTTTTTTTGTTGATTATCTCGGCCTTGCGGTAATCGAGTAATCAAAATCAGACAACCTTACCACCACAGATCATTAGTGGTCTATGCTTACCACATCGAGCAAAAAGATAAAAGAGGGAATCTAATCGTTATCAGGTGGACTCGTTTTTGCACATTTCTGCGCCGACCAAAATCCACCATCTTTTCAATATGTCACATGTGTGTAGGGATGGTGACCTGATCCCGTACCAGTTACTTTGGAACATGTATTTTATTTATACTTGTGGAACTGATCCCTAACACCAATATATTATAAAAAACGAGTACGGGTCATGGCCGTATAAATAAAGATCTTTATTTATACGTCCATGGTACGGGTACTGTACTCATAATAAGTGTAAGTGAGCATACCTGACCTGATCCACAAAAATACTTGGATCAACCACCTCTACATGCGTGACGTCTGCTTTGTTTACTTTTGCATTTTTTAACCTTACTTTGCAATGTACTGGAATTTAAATGTAAATGTGTTTTTGTTTTGTTTCGATTTTTTAAAAATTATTTTAGCAAGAGTCTGTTCAGATCATTTTAAATATGAATTAATTGGATTAATGTATAATATTAATTTTATTTTATTTAATTTAACTACGATATTTCGTATCAATTTTGTACATATTTGAATTGCCGCCTTCAAAATGGCGGATTTTGGTCGTAAACGTGATTGGCTGTTCAAAATAGATGCGCGTGAGCATATACCCGGTTCGCTATTCCCAGTCCGAACTGTCTAGTGATTTTAGTAATTATTTTTTTGCGAAGTTAGTTACTTTTTGACAGACTCGAAGTGGCTGGAAAATACTATACAACCAAGCGTACGTGCTCTTAGTCAATATTAATGTAAACAAAAGTAAATAAAATAGAACTTTGCCGACAATCAATATTTATTTATTTACACCGTATAATGTGTTGATAACAAATAATAAAATTATTTATTGTACAAAATAAAAAAGTGGGAATAAATTCTACAAAATTAAGACTTAAGAAGTCAAAGTGAGGTTAAATAAGAATAAGACACAGCAAGTTCCTTATGTATTTACAACATTTACATAATTCGATAAATACATTTTAATGATCAACTTACCTCAACAGAGTTTTCATTCGGTAAAAAAAATGGTAGGCATTTTGAATAAACCTTTGTGCAGTTTTATTACCTTGTAATCTAGGAACAGCATCCTTACTAATCTAAAAATATTAACTAAAAAAAAAACTTTTTAAAATACATTTTATCATATTTATTAAGAAAAACTTACCAACGCATTAGCTGATGGAACAAATGGAAAACTTTGACTATCCATAATAATAAAATTTAAAATATAACTAACTAATTAACTGAATAGAACTAACAAAAGAATTAAACAAAGATAATAAAACAATAAAACTATATTAAATTAAATAAACAACGCGAATAATACAAATATTTACTACAATATTTTAAATTGTAACAATTCAAATATTATATTTTAAATATACAGAGAAATTTTGATGGGTTTAGTATACACTTCCACTATTTAGAATAATTCTTTTTTTTTTCAAAGAAAGAGGTCTACAATAGTAGTATACTTGAGCTATTTATACTGAGAAGTAGGAATTGTTGTGTTGTAGGTTTCCTACAATGAGTCTGTCAAAATATGCCCTAGCTAAGCGAATAGACAATACCATGTTTCCTTATATCATACCACGCAGATGTGGGCGGGCCTGTTAAACGTCAAGTGACGTCAAGAGGTGACGATCTCGACATTTAGTTTAAGCTGTTTACATTTACATTGTAACGGTTTTAAGCTTTTTACGATTTTTTCACTCTAAAATTATTTTATTATTATTTTGGATTTAAAAAATATTGGTGCAAAATGAGGTGTGCTGTAGCAGGTTGTAGTGTGAACAACCAATAAAAGTGTTATGCGAACGATATAAAGTTTTTTAGGTTCAAACAATTTTTCTTTTGAAAGCTGAAAGGTTGAAAGTCAAAATTGTAGAAAATAGGTTGCTTCCAATAAATATTTGCAAAAAAATATCATATGTATAAATAGGAAAGCAACATAAGTAACCTAAAATATGAGAAATTTTTGTAAACAATTTAAATTAATCTAGCAACCTTATCTAATGAGCTCATGTCAGAGAATTTCATTAAACTGGACACATTTTTTTAATATGCCAGGAGCAATTTTTACTTTTTTTTAGCCAATATCGAAGGCAAGAAACTGCAGGAAAAGGGTATCCTTTTTTAAAAGCAATCTGTAAGATTAAGAAAAATATGAGTGTCATATGTTTGCATTTCAATAATGAACTAATGCTGATGAATGAACTATGCCCTTGGAAGGGCAGAATAGATAACAACTATTGCTTTAGGTATGTCCTCAACTTTCCATTTAAGGCGAGTTTTTGAATTTTCTAATTTTTTTAGCTGCTCCTCACTCGTTTTTTACCCTTCAACCATCAATATGTTTTGACGTTCACTACAAATATTTCTCTGGTTTTGTAATGTACCTACCTACTCACATGTAAGATAATTAAAGTATCTATGTATTTCTATATAGTTTTTAGTCACCTGGTATATGTTATTTACAATTATGAAAAGTTCTCATGTATAATCACTAATAATTATTTGCTGTTAGAAATCAGAATCAATACTCTTCATAAATATTTTCCTATTTAGAATAAATAAGTTTCGCTAGTTTATTCGCCTAATACTTCGTATCTATGGAATAATAATAATTTATTTCTCTTATTTCTTTGTTCGATAAGCTATCCGTATTTGCTATTTTAATATTAATATTTGAGTCCAATCTCTTGTACTCAAATCCATCCAGAAACATCGTTAAATAATTGTAGATAACAGAACTTATAAATTCATAGTTTTAAGAAATAACAGGCAGTGTAATTTTCATCCTCTAATATAATAAATTTATACATGTCAATATATTCTGTTTAATTCCAAAACAAAGAGTTAGTCCGGAGAAGAAATAAACGCATAGTATTCCATAACAAAATTTGGTGTCAGAACGTGGGATATTAGTAGCAGAGTTCCTCTGATTGCTGATAGAAGGAGAGCTGAGGAATTTTTGAATTGACTTGTTTCCTTCGAGGAATCATTCAAAAAAACTGTCAGTGTGGAAAAATCGCCACTACAACTAATTACATTGGGGTCCAGTACATCCAGTTCGAAATCCAGTTCCAGTCATAACCCAATTGTAGTTCCATCGGAAGTAGAGGTGAACCCGTGGAATAATAGACTATGCGACCAACAACAATATTCTACTTGTAAGTACATTCTATCTTAAATTCTGTCTCATATTTTAAAAATCTTGTAAACGTATGTCTACTTTATATCCTGATATAAGTAACTTATTTGACGAACAAATACCTTCTCCCGACTCAAATTCTCTTTCAAATTCTTCTACTTCTAATTCAAATAAAATGTCAGTATCAATTGAAATAGCTGAAAAACTTCTCATTAGATTTGATGGTACAAAATCAAAATTATACGAATTCATAGACAATTGTGATAAAGCATACAATTTAGTAAATCCGCAATCCAAACCCATCTTATTAGCCATTATAGAAACTAAATTAACCGATAAAGCTAGGGCCATAACTAGAAACAGAACATTTGACGAATGGAAAGATTTAAAAGACTTCTTATTAGATGCTTATTCTGAACGCCGAACTGAAGGTCAGTGGCAATTGGAATTACATTCCTTACGTCAGATGCCCAGTGAAAATGTAATGTCATTTGCAAATAAAGTTGAAAATTGCTATATAAAATTAATAAATACACTTGATCCAGACTTATCTCCAGATGCAAGAAATGCATGTACTAAACTCTTAAAAACTCAAGCACTAAATGTCTTTATTAGAGGATTAAACAAAGACCTCTCTATTTTAATCAAAGCCCGAAATCCAGATTCCTTAGAAAGAGCTGTTGCTATAGCAATTGCCGAAGAACAAGAACAGTTATCAAGACAAGAAATTTTCAAACCATTCTGTAATATTTGCAAACGAAATAACCATTCCTCAAATAACTGTCGATATAAAAACAATTCAGATAGAAATGTTAGACATCTTCAAAATTCTAGTTTTCAAAACCCAAAATATCCTAATTCAAATCTTCAAAGGTCAAATTCTCAAAATCAAAATTATAAACCTTCAAATTCAAATTCCAATTCTGATTTTCCTCCAAACTTAAGAAAAGAAAATACCAACACTTCCCAACGTTTTTGCAGATACTGCAAAAAACCAGGTCACGTTATAGAAGAATGTAGAAAACGCGAATTTAACAATAAAAACAAAAATCCAACAAATTCTTTAAACTTCCAGAATCCTCGACAACCAACGGTCGATTCTCGAGGAGTTCGTTCAGTTCAGGCCGTATCACAACCATCAACTTCTCAGTCACTTCCTATGTAGATTTACCCTTAGTAAATAATTCTAATCCATCCTCTTGCAAGTTTCTAATCGATACAGGCGCAGATATTTCTTTAATTAAATATTCAAAAATACTAAACATTCCAAAAATTTATTCTAAGTCTATTACTCTACGAGGCATTGATAAAAATGTCTTAAATCCAAATAAAACTATATGTAGTTGTAACGTAAATTTCAAGATAAAAGATTTTGTCCAAACTCATGTTTTCTATGTCGTAGAAGACGATTTTCCTCTTCATTTCGACGGTATATTAGGTAGCGATTTTTTTGAAATAAATAAATGCCAAATTGATTATAAAGAAAATAAATTAAACTTTAAAAATTGTTCTATTCCAATTGAATATATAAAATCTCCATTAAACAATGACAATGACGAATTTCTGAGAGATCAAAATATCGAGACAAGTTCTAATATCGATGAAATATTTCCTTATGATGCTAAATCCATAGAGGATCATTC